AAAAAGAGTTTTATGTTAAATTATAGTCATTCAAAAAGAGTTGTAAACTATGCTTCAAATATGCCAAATTTAAAATTAAAAAAAATTTAAAGACCCTTTTTTTTTAATTATGATTCTTTCACGGAACACCTATTCACATCGTGTTCCGCGGAACACCGTTTGGGAAACACTGCCCTATTTAATCACCTCGACTTGCAATCATGATTTTGTCCATTAGAGGGCAGTGGTACACATTCACACTAGCCAGTTCTATACATTGTTTTGCTGAAAGAGATGTAATAGAGGTTAAGGCCAGAAGGGACTATTAGATCAATTAGTCTGACCTCATGTATAACACAAGCCAGAGAATCTCATAATTGATTCCTGCAGTGCAGGGAATTATTATTTCCTGCTGCAGAGGTGAATACCCTAGCAGAACCTCTGGGCAGTTCTTTTAAAAGGACATCCAGTCTTACTTTAAAGACTCCAAGTGAATTATTACATTTATGATTTATTTAATGCAAAAGGGAAGGTTCTATGGGCACCATGGAAGAGTTACAAATTATGCACTAATTTTTTCATCTTAATTTTAAATTAGTTTCCAAGGATAAATACAGTAATTCACCTGAAAGATAATATCACACAAAGTGTGGAGAAGCACTGAAATGAATTCCAGTACAATGCTACAAAATTCATACTGGCCTTTTAATGCTCAGGGTTACAAGAGGACCGGAAAATCTTGCAGAAAACTTGATCCAAAAACACAAACAGGGACTACTGAAGGAAACAAAAAAAGGGGGAAAGAACCAATTCTAATTTAAGGTCTTGGTCCTGCCAACACTTAAACTTATGCTTCATTTTATGCGTGTGAGTAATCTCCTTGAAATCAATGGGACTGCTCATGCACTGAAGTTAAATCCTTTGGTGAATTAGGGGCTGAACCTGTCTCCAAAGGCCTCAGAAGACCCCCTAGTCACAGCAGGACTCAGCCTTATCTGTCTTGTGAGAAGTTCAATTGCTCCTATGCCAAATACAGAAGAATACCTTGAGCAAGGGATGGTGATGATTGAGGGCTTGTTAGATGAACATTTAGTTGATTGCAAGCTGGGATGTAAATTTACAGCGCACTAGCATGCCATGCGCTAACTGTCCGTGTGGACCCTGCTACCACACACTAAAAGTTCCTAGTGCACTTTGACCTACTGGTCCCTTAGGCTAGGTCTACACTGGGGGGGGATCGATTTAAGATACGCAAATTCAGCTACGTGAATAGTGTAGCTGAATTCGACGTATCCTATTCGACTTCCCCTGCTGTGAGGACGGCGGCAAATCGACCGCCGCGGCTCCTCCGTCGACGGCGTTTACTCCTCCTGACGAGGTGGGAGTACGCGCGTCGATTCGGGGATCGATTTATCCGTCTACATGAGATGTGATAAATCGATCCCCGAGAGATCGATTTCTACCCGCTGATCCGGGCCGGTAGTGTAGACCAGCCCTTAGACTCCTAGCTGCGCCACTCCAGGAGTATCTCAGACACTGCTGTAAGGTGCAGTTTCCACTCAGCTTCCCTTTCCTCTGCAGAAGCAGTAAATTGCTGATGGATGGTTTTCACCAGCAGCAGAGTACGACACGCCCTGTGCAGGCTCAGCTCTGTCGACTGGTGCATAGGGGCACATAGCCAAAACACCATCCATTTCCTGCCCACTTGATTTTATGAAAGCATTTGATAGTGTCCACAGAGACGCCTACTGGAAGATCTTGAGACAATAGGGAATTCCAGCAAAGATTATTACTTTGATTAAAAACTTTGTGCTGCATCTGGACACAAAGCAGAGACGCCAAATGGTTTAAGATAGTTTCTAGTGTAAGGCAAGGTCGCGTATGACCCCCCGCTTCTCTTCTGCATTGTCATAGACTGTGTGACGAGAAAGTGATGGCTGCTGCCGAGAACGTGGGCATTGCTTGGGCAAGAGATGAGCTGTGAGACTTCAGTTTTGCAGATGATCTAGTGATATTGGCTACCAACTTGGATGGAATGAAAAGATTTTTTATGAGCATAAAAGCAGACACTGCTAAAGTGGAATTTTGTATCAGTAAGCAGAAGACCAAGGCCAGGGAGATAGGAGAGAATGCTGTCAATGCAGGCGGATTGATAAGAGTACAAAGGAGTGGATGACTTTGTCTATCAAGGAAGTGCTGTATCTGCTGAAGGCCAGCTCGCTGAAGAAGTGAAGTCAAGAATCAGTAAAGCTTTTGGATGCTTTACCCATTTATCAAGCATCTGGAAGAGTCAGAGGAGGCGATACAACGCTATTGCCCTTTCAACACTACTGTATGCCTCAAACATGGCAGCTAGTGGGAGTACACAACAGCGAACTGAATGCATGTGTGACAAGATGGTCGATATAGTATGGAGGCTAAAATACCACCCCTTACCCCTGCTCTTGGGGCACCAAGGGCCCAACTAGTGGCCCAGGAAGGTGGTAAAGAAGGGAAGCGGGGGAGGGGTCTGGGTTTTCTCCTCACTCTGAGTCCCAGCCCCTCTCAACCCCTGCAGGCTCTTACCTTCTTCTCCCTTGGGTGGGGGTACCTTCAGTCCTTAAACACTGGGGGAGGGAATGTCCCTCCCCTGCTGGGGCAGGGTCTCCCTTACTCCAGTTTTCTGTTCCTCCAAGTCTAACAGCACACCTCCAAGCTCCAGTCCTTCCTCCTTCCCCCTGACTGCCTGAAGCAGGGGGTTTTATTAGGTTTCTAACAGGGCCTTAATTGATTACAGGTGCTCCAATTAACCTGTAGCAACCCTCCCTAGTCTACAGGGAACCACGCCTTAATTAACCTAGGGTTTATATACTTCCCTTCTACCACTTCCCACTGCTCCCTGGCCCTCCTGTATCACAGCATGTCACCAGTACTGTTTGAGACGAATTCGTTGGAGAAATTGTGTGACCAATGTGGAAGTGCTGTGCTGCACGACTCAGCAGACTGCAGACTCAGTAATTAGACAGAGATGGCTTCTGTGTCATCAGGCCATCCCATGGCAGAAAAACAAGGTATATCTTAGACTGGTTTCCACCTGGAAGGAAGAGAAGGTGTGGAGGACAAGGAATGACCTATGGCAGGACAATTGAAAAGGCTGCTGCCATCATGGAGACAATTTACGATAGAGTCAAACACCTTACTCCAGATTGACAGCAATGGGAAAAATGAGTTGCCTCATATACCACTAGACACAGAAGTCTAAGTCTTCCCTGCCTACTGCCCTCTCCCTTGGTCTGGGCTAGGACAGTAAATGAGCATTCAGCAACTACTAACTTCTGTGTATCTAGACCCCAGGTCACACACAGAAGTGTAAACGGTATTTACTCCCCAGCACAGGTGCTTAGTCCAAGTCATGACCTAGCCTTGAAATATTAGGTCAAATCAAGGCAGGGTCCCTCAATTTCAGTATATGCAGACCATATTCATAAAGACAAGCCACAGAGTAACTCACCTCAGCATCTCTGGTTCCAGTGTCACCAGCGGTCTGAACATAGACTCACTGTATTGTCGCACGAGAGTTCAAATAGATCAAATGTGAGTCTTCATATTCCATTGACCTAGCAGTGTTTCATGTAAGAATATTTGACATTTATGCAGGTTTTTTAACCATTTACCCATGTGCTCAATGGACCACAGTCTCAAATTGAGACACCTATCTCAGGTAGGGCTACAACCAATAAAAATTCATCTTTGCTTTGGTGCAGCCAACTTGCTGAAAAATTGTAAGCCCTTGAGTGGGAGGGAAAGGTAAAAATAGAACATGATATATTTCCTGATTTGGGGAAAAAAGTTAATGTACAGTGATTATTGCTAGAACCAGGAAAGTGACCACACTAATCTGTAGAACAGGGATCGGCAACCTGTGGCATGCGAGCCGATTTTTGATGGCACGTGGCGGGCTGAGCTGCTCAGCCCGCCGCCGCTCTGCTGTTTCCGCCGCCGGCTCCTGCCAGCCGGGGTCCCACTGCCGGTCCACTCAGCACCCGCTTCTGGCCTGGGTGAAGGAACCCCAGGCTGGCAGCGGGCCGAGACCCCGGCTGGCAGGAGCCAGTGGCCGAAACCCCAGAGCGGCGGTGGGCTGAGCCGCTCAATTGCTGCTCTGGGGTTCCGGCTGCTGGCCCCTTGCTAGACGGGGTCCCTGCTGCAGCCCCACTCACCTTGCTTCCGGTTGGAGTTTCAGCGCAGGCCCCCTGCCAGTCAGGGTCCAGGCCCCCAGCCCTGCTCAGCCATACCAGCCACCAGCTCCACTCACCTCAGCTGCCGATCTGGGGTTCCAGTCGCTGACCTCCTGCCAGCTGGTTAACAACTAATCACTCAGAAGCCTGTGTGCAACTTAAAGTATCCAAATACGTGCTAGACATTGGAAAGCTCACACTAAACGGATAAGATTTTCATTTTAATTTAATTTTAAATAAAGCTTCTGAAACATTTTGAAAACCTTGTTTACTTTACATATAACAGTAGTTTGGTTGTATAATATATAGACTTATAGAGAGACCTTCTAAAAACTGTTAAAATGTATTACTGGCACGTGAAGCCTTAAATTAGAGTGTATAAATGAAGACTCAGCACACCACTTCTGAAAGGTTGCTGACCCCTGCTGTAGAAAGTAGAGGATTTACAGTGAAGATGTGGGTGGAATCTTTTGCACCAGTTTAAGCAGGCATTGAAGTATACAGTTCTGCAGTAACATTGTATTTAGTCTAGGCTGTGTTTAGCCACTGCACGTGGCCATGAGCTGCAGTGTTTGGCTCAAGATCCAGCTTCCATGAAATTTGGGGGTTTAGATACAGGGTTTTGACTTATGCTTGTGTCAGCTGGGAACATAAACGAGGTTGAGAAACTGCTTCTGGATTCTGCTTCCAAAAAGTAGGTGGCAAAAGGCACTGAAGACTAGCAATCCCCTCCTTTTCAAAGCCAGCAGTGTGTGCGCATTGCACTACAAAAATTAAACTCATTCCCTCTTTGTTGTCAATGCCTAGGCAGAACACTTGTTTCTGAAGACGAGCTGACTCAGCTGACTCACATTATGCCATCGCTGACTGGGGTAGATCTGAGGTCTCGTCTCAGAGTTCTGATCCAGAGCCTTCGGAGGCAGATTGAAGAGCAAGAGATCCTGAAAGAGTTTGTGGTGAGATGTGCTGCTTGGCTTTTGTAGGCCTAAGTGTTTGGCACAGCTAGGAAAGTGAGTTGTATGTGAAAAAACCCAATCTCTCAAGGATTAGCACATCCCCACTGGTTGGAGGAGAGATCTGTGGGTGCGGGTGCTCCTTTCTGACTCCATTGGGTCAGGGAATCACTCCCAGCTAGACTATGACCCATGATCTGTGCTCAGAGGAGATCTTCCACATGCAGCTCTCCCTCTTTCCATGCAGGGGAGGGCTCAGTCACCTTGATGGCCTTTTCCCTATGTCCCTAGACTCTATTGGCTAGTGGGTATTTGTACATCTCCAACTGACACAACTGGGAATCACCTTAGGTGTATTAACTTTTTGGCAGAGCACTCTCAGATCTGATGTGCTGTTGTGTTGGGGGGATTCCAGGGGTGGCATCAGACTGAAGAATTCCTGACTATGCTCCCAGGGAGCAGGATTAGAAATCGATCCAAGGAAATACTTTGTTACACAATGCATGATTGACCGGTGGAACTCATTGCTACAAGAGACCATTGAGGCCAAAAGCTTCACAGAAAGATGGGAACAAATTAGAGAAAGTCCAGAGAAGAGCAACAAAAATGATTAAAGGTCTAAAAAACATGACCTATGAGGGAAGATTGAAAAAATTGGGTTTGTTTAGTCTGGAAAAGAGAAGACTGAGAGGAGACATGATAAATGTGTTCAAGTACATAAAAGGTTGTTACAAGGAGGAGGGGAAATAATTGTTCTTAACCTCTGAGGAAAGGACAAGAAGCAATGGGCTTAAATTGCAGCAAGGGAGGTTTAGGTTGGACATTAGGAAAAACTTCCTAACTGTCAGGGTAGTTAAGCACTGGAATAAATTGCCTAGAGAGATTGTGGAATCTCTGTCATTGGAAATTTTTAAGAGACATTTAGACAAACACCTGTCAGGGATGGTCTAGATCAGGGGTTGGCAACCTACGGCACGCGTGCCAAACACGGCACGCGAGCCGATTCTGAGTGGCACGCAGCTCCCTGCCGCAGTCCCAGCCCCCAGCTCCCCCGCCCACCGCTCTCCCCTGCAGGGGCAGGAGGCAGAAGCTTGGTTCTGCAGCAGCCAAGCTTCCCCCCTCCCCCACTTCTTCCCCCAGCATGGTGCTTTCCGGCCCCTCCTCCTTTCCTTCCCTGCGCCAATCAGCTGATGGCCCTAGCGAGGGGGAGGGGGAAGAGCGGCAGCGTACGCACAGCTCCCTAGAGGATGCAGAGAGGTAGGGACAGAGCCTGAGGGAAGAGGCTGGAACAGGCATATCCCTTCCAGCCCCCTGACATGAGCCGCTCAGGGCAAGGGGCTGGGAGCACCCCCATGAGCTGAGCACCCCAGCCTTCTGCCCTGCACCCCCCACCCCTCTGCCCTGCACCCCCCACCCCAACACACACCCAGCCTTCTGCCCTGCAACCCCACAGCCCCATCCCTCTGCCCTG